TTAGTGTCAGTGTGTCTCGGGCGATATTGGGGATGTATTTGTATTACCAAATCAGTTGCTTTTAAGCGTAAGCATGTCCTGGGTCGCACTTGGGAAAAACTTCCGCTAACCAACGATTCGTTAAGATTCAAAATTCCACCGAGGGGGTGCTTGGGTGCCTCCAGTCGATTAAGCGTCCGACTTGGGCTCAGGTCACAATCTCCAGGCTCGGGGGTTCGAGCCCCGCAGCAGGCTCTGTGCCCACAGCTCGGAGCGTGGAGCCCGCTTCGGGTTCTGTGTCTCCCTCTCTCCCTGCCCCTCCCCTACTTGCGCTCTGTCTCTCTCTCTCAAAAATAAATACTAAACAGAAAGATTCCAATTCCGCTGGGCGTCCTGTGTTTTGCTGTGGGGGCTGTCCGGTGGGTGTGGGGTTTCGGTCGTCCCGCCCCGCGCCCTCCAGGCACACACACCGCAGGAGGCGAACTTGAGGGCCAGCACACAGCTCTCGTGAAGGTGCAGCTGGTACTTCTCGGGCTTGCGCACGTGCAGGACCTCCACGTTACTACTCTCCATGCCCACGGCCAGCCAGTCCTGGTTGGGGCAATGGCCCAGGGAGAAGATCTGGGGGTGCAGAGGAAAGAGGGGACATCGAACCCCCCCTGCAGAGGTTGGAGGAGGCCCAGAGGGGCAGGGGAGGGGCCCACCGCTCTCCCGCGGCAGCCCTGCGTGGAGAGGCAGCTGGCCCAGGGCCTGGAACGCAGCAGGCAACTGCATGTCGGATCATTAATATTAATCAGAATTACACGGAACCCTGGGGCCTCACATCCATTATCTGCTCAGAACGCACAACAGCTCTGGGAGGGAGGGAAGGAGGGAGAGGGAGAAGCCGGGCGAGGACAGTCGCCCCCCTTGAGCAGATGGCAGAAGGGAAGCTCGAGGCCAGGGCTCGCTCAAGGTCAGAGATCCGTGAAAGCCGAGGCCTTCGGACTCCCAGCTCGGAACTTTTCCCCGCTTGCCAACACCTCCTTTTGCTTGGATGTGAAAGGACTCAGTGGCCTCATCGTTCCGTGCCCCACCCCAAGCGAGGCAGAGAGAGGCTTAACGCCCTGTTCTATCCTAACCCTGTCGAAGTCCTACGGACAGGACGCGTGTGGAAAGAACCACAAATGGACAGCAGAGAGAGGACTGGAAGTTTTCACGTGTGCTCTCCTGCCCGTACAGAGTTCCTGCACAAAGACGGGGGCCCGGTGGGATGAGAGATACTCACCATGGGGTCCCCAGAGAACAACCCATCTAAGTCTCAGGGCCAGGGGATGGACAGCCATATCCACCTGCACCCTTGAGTTCCTTATCAAAGAAACTTTTAAGCTAAAGAGAAGAGAAGGTAGAACAGAAAGAGTTTGGGCGTTAGCTACTATCTCCAGGCTTCACGGAAGGGGGCAAAAATGGAGATGGGTTTTGAAGGATGAATAGGAGTTCACCAATTGGAGAAGAGGGAAGGAAAAGCATGTCAGCTAGAGGGAACAGTAAGAGGAGAGGTCTAGATGCATCTGAGGGCATGGTGTGTGTGAGAGAGACTAGAGCACAGAGGCCTTAAATGTCAGGCCAAGGAGCTCACGTCCTGCCCCCAAGGCAGTGGGAGAGAGGATCTGGGTGACTCTGTTCAGCCGTGAGGAGTCTCCAGAGCCTGTCCAGCTCCTTCACTTCATCCTTTAGCCTGGATTCTCACAGAGCCCTCAACGGAGACCTCTCTGCCCGACTCCTATGTCAACCTCTCCCTGCCAACCTACATCAGTGGCTCCCCAGTGGGTCCTGGGGGGTGGTCAGGAGCTCTCAGTCGGGTCAAGAGATTGAAGGCCGGGAAGAGAATTGGGCTACCAGAGAAGAGGAAGGAATGAACGGGGGCGTGACTTAGCAAAAGCATCTGGGAAAGTGATCTGAGGGTCTTAGTAGACCCACAGCTTACTCTGAATCAGTGCCTTTGTGTTTCCACGGGGTTGGGGGCGGGGTAAGGCCTATGGATTTGTGAGAAGGACAAAAAAGATGGACACGGGTCACAGGTATCTGGTCCCCACTCAGTTTCCGGAAGTGAGTGCCTTGTGGGGAGGGGAGGGGATTCCTGAAGCTTCTATCGCCCTCCCGGCAGACCCACTGCGGCACCTGAGAGCAGAAATCGTGCTGCTGCAGCTGGCGGCCCTCCCGCAGGTCCCAGCAGCGCACCGTGTTGTCCAGACCCCCGGTCCAGAGCCGAGTGCCGTAGTCGGAGATGTCGATGCAGCTGGCACCATCGGTGTGGCCCTGGAACTGCCTGGAGGGAGAAGGGCCCAGGCGTCAGGCGTCCGTCGTGGGGGCTGGTTCTGCTCCAGCGCCGAAGCGAGGGGCGCGGGGGCCACCCACCTGACCATGGTCTGGTTCTGCAGGTCCCAGACCACGATGTTGCCGTCGCTGCAGCAGGAAAAGCAGACCTTGGCGTCGGGGCTGACGGCCAGGGCGTAGCAGGCCGGGGCCGAGGAGGTCAGCTCGGCCTTGATGCGCGGGGTGGGCGCCGCCAGGTCCCAGATGGACAGGGTGCTGGCCTCCCCTCCCACGATCAGACTGCGGCCGTCCGGCAGCAGCTTGCAGGAACGGATGTAGTTGTCCCGGTTCTGGGACGGGAGAGAAGCGACGGTGTGGGGCCGGCCCTCCCCGACGGGGC